TTTAAGGACTTCCAGGTTAAACCTCCCCCCTGCGAGCGAGCTGGAGTCAAGGGCTGGCAGCCAGCCGCTGCTTGGCACACAGACTGCGCTCCACACACTGAGGGCATTAGGAGGGGCTGATCTGGGGTGACAGAGAGAAGGGGGGGGTCCCACGGCAGGCAGGCCAACGGCTGCCAGCTGAACTCCCCGGGGAGAGGACTAGCAGGGTGTCTGCAATGGCCCGACAGGCCTCTGCTCCTGGCGCCCAAGAAGACAATGACCTGCTGGTACCACATCTGGGCCGTCTTGGCCCCCGCTCCCCAGATGTTGGAGAAGCACTCCAGCACCGGCACGCTCTCGCTGATGTGGTCCAGCTTCCGCAGGTGCCCACTCTCCAGGATCTCCAGGATCTTCTCCGCCATCCGCTTCCCGATCCCAGGAATCTTACAGGCTTCCTACAGGCACACAAGGAGCAGGGCTCACAGATGGGAAAGGCGAAGGGTCTGCACCTCTGAGCCAGGCTAGCCCGGAGGGCCAGGCAGCTCGGGAGCTCTGCACTGTCGGGGCCTGCTGAAGGCAGGCTCGCTGCCATGTCCTGGGGCACAGCAACAGGGCAGTCACGGACTAGCCCGTAAGGCGTGCGCCCTGCTCTGCCACCACCGGGAGCTGAGGCTCCCATGGAAGGAGAAAGACCTCTCTTCGGGCGGCTGCTCAGTGAAAGGGGCAGAAATCACTCCAAAGTAGAGCCCGGCAGCTCCGCAAGCTCTAGGCTCCATCCCCCAGGCAAGCTTGTTACGCCAGCCTGGAGACTGGCACGTAGCACTTGTGCTCGGGTTCAGACCCGCTGAACAGCCCACGCCCAGCCCTCCTCCGGCAGGGCGCTGCACCCCGGGGGGGAGCTCCAGGCAGCCTGGCAATTAGCACCCAGGCGGGAGTTGGGACGACTGGCGAGTCAGGTGAGCGGGAGTCGTTACCTGGTAAGAGGTGACTGGTTTGTGGTAGCTCTGAAGGGCGTTGATGGCTTTGGAGTAGCCCAGAGCCCTCCACTTGTCCCCCTGGACGGTGTAGGCTTTCCCCAGCACTTCCAGCTTCTCAGTGATGTGCTGGTTGTGATTCACTTTCTTGCTGTTGGAGGACTGAGCACACACCCACTTGCCGGCCACAGAGGGCTCCGAGGGACAGCTGTCGGTGGAACGCCCCCAGGAGGCGTCCGGGCGCCCGCCGGAGATCAGGGCTGCCAGCTCTCCCGGGGTGATGCTGGTCTCTTCCCCCTCGCTCCCTTCCTCATCAGAGTCCCTCTGGAGGGAGAGAGAGAAGCAGCAGTGAAATCGGGCCTGCCTGTCCCTGGCCCGGCCCAGCAACCCCTGGGGCAAGACGTCAGCACAGCAGTAGGGGAGACGACAACCCGCGGGCTGCATCCAGCCTGTCGATTGTTTCGATACGGCCCTCAAGCTCTCACTGGGGAGCAGGGTCTGGGGCTTGCCCTGCTCCGCCCGAGCCGTGGCTCCCAGCAGGCTCCTGTGTGTAAGGGCAGGCAGCGGGATCCATGCGCTGCCCCTGCAGCTCCCACTGGCCAATGGGAGCTGTGAGGAGGGTGCTAGGGGTGAAGACCCACTGCCTCCTCCCTGCCAGGGGTGCACAGAGATGCACTTGCCAGCAGCCCCCAGCCGTGGTGCTTCCGGGAGCAATGTGACAGGGCCGTGGGATTTTTTCCTCTGGCTCCAGCCTGGAGGGTCGTGTATTTGGCCCACCCCGACTTCAAAGCAACCTGTGCAAAGGTCACTGGCCACACCTGCACACGGGTAGCCCTTGTTGGGCCATGATTCTCCAATGCTTCTCTCTTTGTGAAATCAAAACCCTTTTTTCCAACCCAAGAAACGAGCCAAGGCTGCGGGAGGGCTACTTCCAACCTACGATTCCAGCCGCCCCCTTTCCTGTTACGCTTGGGACTTACAAGACTGGTCAGAATAGTGATAGAAATGTAGCCGTGTTAGTCTGGGGTAGTTGAAGCAAAATGCAGGACAATGTAGCACTTTAAAGACTAACAAGATGGTTTATTAGATGATGAGCTTTCGTGGGCCAGACCCACTTCCTCAGATCAAATAGTGGAAGAAAGTAGTCACAACCATAGATACCAAAGGATACTCAGAACTTTTTTTCCCCTCACCTAATCCTAAAGGTGACTCAAGAGGTGTAGCCCAAATGCATAACAAGACTGCTTCCCTGCACAGAACGGGCCTGGGAAACTGAGTCACAGCCGGTCAAGCAGGTCTCAGCCACAGCGCATACTGCCCAGTGAGCTGGACAATAAAACTCCTCAGAAGCAGGAGACCTGCAGCAGCATCCCAAAGTCTAATGGTTCCCCTAACGGCGGGTCCGTTACTAGCGGTAACTGCTGTTCGCAAGTGATTCAAAGGAAGGGGGCTGCTAGGAGGGGCCTCGAGAGATTGGAAACACAGGAACAGGCGACTGTGCCTGTAGACAGATCAGCTACGGGACACGGAGGGAAAAACCTGTAACAAAGCGATAACCAGTGGACAGCAAGGTGGGCGCTGGCTGCAGGGTTCTGTACCAGCACCTGGCCAGGGTGCCGGGGGCAGAGACTCGAGTCACAGGGCAGAGGAGCAGCTGGCTCTGGGATGACTCACTGTGCTCTGCCTGGAAGGAGCATCCTACCAAAAAACTGTCAACAAACTGGAGCCAGTTCAGCAAAGGGGGGGAGGCGGGGGAAAAGAGGACGACGTTAAGGTCTGAAGGAGCAGCCTCTGTACATATTATCTGGCCACAGCTCTGTAGCACCTCCCATCTCACAATCTTTAATCTCGACTCTCAAACTCCCTGAGGTAGGGCAGTGCTGCTGTACCTACTGGGGGGAACGGCGGCCCAGGGGCTAAGTGACTTGCCCTGGGTCACACAGGAAGTCTCTGGCAGAGCACAGGCTTGAACCCAGATCTTGAGCCCCCAGGTTAGCGCTCTAACCACTGGATCGTCTCCTTTGCCCTGAGACTGACTCACAGGAAGGGAGTTTAACAGCCTGCCTGTATATTCTGAGTGCACGTGACTGGGAGGCAGCTCTCCGTGCAGCTGGATGGATGTTGAATGGGGTAACCTCACAGAGCGGGGAACCGGTTAGTGCGGGTCAGGGTGAAATACCCTCACAGGCAGGTATCTCAGGAGGTGGAAGTCTCCCCAGGGATGCAGGGAAAACACACTGGAGTTATTCTGGCTTAGCTTGGTCAAAGCCCTCAGACTACAGGTTGTACCTCCCTTAACCGGGACACACTGGTCCAGCAACATCTGTGATCTGGTAGGACCACGCACGTTCCTGGACCACAAGGCCCAGGTATGAGAAGTTCTGCCCTCTGCGGCTGGGAGGTAGCGGGGGTCGGCAGCGGCTGTGGCGCTCCAGCCCGAGCGGCAGCCAAGGAAACAGGCAGCAGCCCTGGGCAGTATTTAGCACGAGCCATGCGGGGAGGGACCTCCCCTTGTCTGGCGAATCCCCTTGTTCAGAACCGGTCAGGTCCCCAGGGTGCTGGACGAGGGAGGTCCGACCTGTCGTTCTGCTGGGAATGGTTCTGCAAGGACAGGCACTTAAAGGCTGGTTCCCAGAGGCAGAGAGAAGCAGTAACAATGCCCAGACTGAACCTGCTGGTGGCACATCACTGAAAACCTCAAATGCCGTCAGCGCCCTGTTGGCCAGGGTAGAACGTGACGCTCATTAGCCGTGCTAGGCTAGCACGAGCCAACAGAGACCAGGCAGCGTGTGTTTGGGATAACACTGACCTGTGCGTGGAGAACCTCCGCACGCTGCTGGGCTGAGGAGGCTGGGTCCTGAGGCAAGGTGGTTGCTGTCTGCGATTCAGCCTTCAGCTCTGCTGCTTCCGTCCCTGTCTGGGGCTGGACAGCCTCACTGCCCAGAAGCTGCTGTGGTCCCTTTGGCAGATCCTCCTCCTCCAGGTACCTGCCGGGGACCAACACCGAGCTGAGCAGGTTCACACACAAGGAACATGAAGACGTCTCAGCCCAAACCCCTATCTGGGGAATCTCTTCTCTTGTTCGGGGATGGGGCAAAGAGCAAATGTTACCTTTGCTCACCCAAGTTACAGGTACAATGCTCTGGCTGCCCCTGGCGCTCTCTCACCTCACTGACCTGCCACTTCTACTCCTTGCTAGTCCAGTCCTGAGCTCCCACTTAGCTCTGCGGACATGCCTCCATCCTAACCTGACGCCCCCACTGTTGTGTCCCCGGGCCAGTCTTGTGCATAGCTGACAAAGAGCTCTCCGCTTTCCCTCTGCCAGGGCATTGCATCGTTCATGTTCTCACCACGCCCTTGTTGTCTCTGATGAAGCCAGAGGGCGTCTAGTGGGTAGAGCAGGTGACCGGGAATCAGGATTCCTGGTTCTCCTCTCAGCTGTGCTACAGACTCACGGTGGCACCCCGGAAAAGTCACTCTGGCTCTCTGTATCCTCATCTCTCCATCAGCAATATGAGAATGCTATTGAGGACTCACGGTGTCACCCCGGGAAAAGTCACTCTGGCTCTCTGTACCCTCATCTCTCCATCAGCAATATGAGAATGCTATTGACCCCATAGGTACGGAGTTGGGAGGCATCTTTGGCTGAAAGATGAGGCCAGGCCAGAGCTGCTGTGTGGGGGCCGAATACCTGTCTGGGATGAAGATGCTGTACCCCGCGGTGTCCAACAGCTTCTGCTCTCTAAGGCACAAACTCAGCCAGGAGGCCTTCACCAGCTGGATCCCTGCGGGAAGCCTGGCCAGTCTGAGGAGGCGAAAGGCCCGGTCGCAGTCCATGTCTTCTGCCACTATGATGTGCGTCACCTTCGAGGAGAGCTGGTTGCAGATGCGACCCCCCTTCTGGGCAATCTGCTTGTGAAAGATCTCTGCCCTGGCCGGCCCGATGCCTGCTGGCAGCACGTAGGCTGTGACCGGCTTCAGCCATTCTACCGAGAGGAGATACAAGGGCAAAGATTCAGTGGGCCGGAAGGTTACACACCTCGTGCGGCGTTACTGGGGCGGCTGGCAGCACCTGGCCCCCGGAGGACAAGAGACCACAGGGTGCACCAGCTTGACATATAGAGCTGCCTAGCCACAGCTCCCCTCCCACAGCGCCAGGGTTGCTCGGCACCAAAGGACCCAAGAGTACTTTGGGAAAGGTCTCACCCGACATCTGCCGATGAGAAACAGGGAGAGGAGTCTGACAGACTGGGACTGCCCGTAACAGAAGGGTGGGTGTGGGACGTACCTTCTACAATCCCAGTTTCCTTCTGTTTCAGGACCTTTGGAGGGACCGTCTTTCCCGAGTCATCCCTCATCTTCTTCCTCTTTGGAAAGGCTTTCACGATTCCCCCCGGCTCCATAGATTATCATGATAGGATGACCCCTCCCTGGGCAGGCTGTTAATGGTACGTGTGCTGAATACCAAAAATAAAGAGAAGAACTCTGCAGAACGCCACAACGTGGGCACACATGTGTTTCCCTAACTGAATTCTCAGAAACCGCTCAACAGCTGTTACTGAAACTTTCCAAAAATATTCAGCCTGAGGCAGACACCCATAAAGGAACATTTCAGCTGAACAGCTACAGTTTGGCCAACTTAGAAGCAACGGAAAAGAGGTTCTTCTAATGGAACATGTTAGATAAGAACTGCGGGCATCGCTACCAGCTCCACACTTAGTAATCAGCTTCCAGCCACTTCCCAGGTCAGACAGAGGAATTGCTTCCTCCAGCACTGAAATGCAGCCAGCTCTGGGGTGTGACGGGGCAGTCATTTAACACTCAGACACCATCACTACCTAGGACAGTAAAGGAAGGTGACCCTGGTCTCCAGCTTCAGCTGCAAGTGAAAATTAGTGAGATATAAAGTAAGTAACTGAATTCACAGTTGGTCACACCACCAGAATTAACACCCCCAACGTAAGCCTGGACGTTGCCCCAGGTCAGTGGGATGAACTAGACGGCCTCTCAAGGTCCCTTCCAGCCTCTACATCTCTGTGCTTCTGGGATCTGTGAGGACCATCCACAAGCGGTCAGGGCCTTAGTTTTCGTCCCACCCAAAAGCCAGGAGCCTCCGGTCCCTTAGCACCGCGCTGCAGCTTTGGCTGGGTGCAGACGCGGAGAGGGGCCAATTCTGCAGCATCTGGGTTTGGCTTAAAGATCCCGCGTCCAAGCGCTGGGGCAGCTCACCCCGCGTGGCGAGAGGCGCCTGGGGAAGGACAGTCCGAGGCCTGGCGCCCCCCCGGGACAACTGGAGGGGGGAGCTCTGGCCCCACACGGGGGGAGAGAAGGGGGGGCTGTGGCCCCACA